TAAATCCCACAGTCATTTGGTTAAAAGAACAATGGAGGAAGATGGAAAGGAAGAGATGTAATGCAGGCAGTGAAGGAGAGATATTTCCTCATGAGACTTCATGCAGTTTAAAAAATTTTGTCATTACTTTTTTACATGCTCCCCATTTGCGTTGTTCCCCACCTTTCAAAGTAAATACCATTGGTCTCTCCCTATTGGATAAATGATCATTTGGGCCGGAATCATTACCTAGAATTCCTCTTTCCTGCTTCTGGGATCTCCCACACCTGTGGGTGAAAGTTAGAGGAGCGTGCTACCTCTACAAAACCATCCAAGGAGCAGGAAGAAGGGTCTAACTGAGTTACATAAGAACATCAGAACGGCTGTACTGGGTCAGACCAAAGGTCCCTCTAGCCCAGTATCCTGTCTGCCGACAGTGGCCAGCACCAGGTGCCCCAGAGAGGGTGGACCGAAGACAATGATCAAGCGATTTGTCTCCTGCCATCCCTTTCCAGCCTCTGACAAACAGAGGCCAAGGACACCATTTTATTCCCTGGCTAATAGCCTTTTATGGACCTAACCTCCATGAAATTATCTAGCTTCTCTTTAAACTCTATTATAGTCGTAGCCTTCACAGCCTCCTCTGGCAAGGAGTTCCAGAGGTTGACTACACGCTGTGTGAAGAAGAACTTTCTTTTATTAGTTTTAAACCTGCTACCCAGTTGCCCTCCTTCTCCCACTCAGTTCCTCTGCCTCCTCTGCCCCCTAGTTTCTTGTCCCTTCCAGCAGCCCCACATCATTTGGACTCCTCCACAGAATTTCATGGGTGGGGTGGAGGAAGTGGTCCTTTCAGAAGGCCCCATCCACCTTCAGGAAGGAAAAACTCAACAGCAGCAGTGGCGGCTACCAGCAGTGAGGAAGCCTACCTATGCCCTGGCTGCTCAATTGATCAGTCCTTAGGGCCCAAATAGTCTCAACAGCCTCCTTCCAGCAGCATTAGGAAACGGCCCTTGTACAGCCTCTGAAGCCTGATGGGGTCAGCCATTCTGAGCCCTATGAGCTGTTTGGGGGACTGGAAGGCTGACTCATGGGGTGTGTCTGGGAGGGCCCTTCCTGAGAAGAACACATGCTAGTTCTGTTCAAGCTAGTGCTGAAAGTAGCAATATAGGCAGGGGATGGCATGGCAGCTTAGAGTAGCTGCCTAAGTACATGCCCTGGACCTTTGGACAGGTTTGTACTCTGAGCCACCACCTGTGCTACCCCCCTCCAGCTGAGGAGTCACTTCAACAGGGTTATGGTTTGATAGAGAATATTTTAAATTATTCACTTTTTTAATGTTGCAAGTGATTTGGGACCATCAAGCAATGCCCATTGCCGGGCTGAGTAGCCATCAGAACTTATTGCAGTAGCCCTCTCCCTTCTGTCAGCCCTTCCGGATCATTGCTGCACCCACTTGTTGGGTGTTGTCCTAAAATAAACCCTGACCTTGCACTGGCCACCGCATGAGCAAATGACAGTGCCCATACAGAGCCCTATAGTTATCAGTGAGTTTGCACCTTACCATACCCGACTGCCTTTCGGTGTCCATTGCAGGACTAAGGCCTTGTACTGTAAGTACCTTGAAGCAGAGAACTATGTCTTGGGTTGTGTCCTTATAGCTGTTAGCACAAGGGAACCCCAAACCTGATAGAGCCTTTGGGAACTGCCACAATATAATAGTGAGAATCTCAGTAATAAATACTCCATCTTCACTGGCACCTTTAAAGTTCCATTCAGATTGTTGCCAGATACAACAAGGAATCCTGTGGCACCTTAAAGACCAACTGATTTATGTGTTCATGGGTACAATCCACTTTGTCAGATGCCAGTGCATCAGGTTTTTACCCACAAAAGCTTATGCCCAGATAAATCAGTTAGGGTATGTCTACACTACAGCACTAATTCAAACTAACTTAGTTCGAATTAGTTAATTCGAACTAAGATCATTCGAATTAGTGCATCTAGACTTAAAAACTAGTTCGAATTAGCGTTTTGCTATTCAAACTAGCATGTCCACACTGAGTGGACCCTGAACTGAGGTTAAGGGTGGCCGGAAGCAGTGCCGGCAGGGCATCAGATTAGGATTTAGAGTGTAGAGCTGCTGTCTCAGGCTAGCCGAGGGCTGTGCTTAAAGGAACCCAACCCCCATCCCAGACACACAGTTCTCAGGGGTTCCCCGCTTGCAAAGCAGTCCTGGTTTGGAGTGCCCTGAGTGCCCACACTCGGCACATCACAGCACTTGGCCATCAGCCCGGCTGCACTTGCCGCAGGCTGCCATCCGGAGGGGGGGGGGTCAATCAAGGGGCTTCAGGAGAGTTTCCACCCCAAAGAGCCCGCAGAGCCAGCCCAGTCCTCCCCATCGGGGGCTCGTACCCCATTCCTCCCTCACCTCCTTCCACTTACCCTTCCTAGCCCCCCTTCCTGATGTACAAAATAAAGGACACATGTGTTCAAAAATAGAAACTCTCTTTATTGAACAAAACTCGGGGAGACTGGGAAAAGAAGGTGGGAGAGGGGAAAAGAGAGGGTGGGAGAGGGGAGGGCAATTAAAATGGTCAGGGGTTTGGAACAGGTCCCATATGAAGAGAGGCTAAAGAGACTGGGACTTCTCCGCTTAGAAAAGAGGAGACGGAGGGGGGATATGATAGAGGTCTATAAAAGCATGAGTGGTGTGGAGAGGGTGCATAAAGAAAAGTTCTTCATTAGTTCCCATAATAGAAGGACTAAAGGACACCAAATGAAATGAATGGGTAGCAGGCTTCAAACTAATAACAGAAAGTTCTTCTTCACAAAGCAAATAGTCAACCTGTGGAACTCCTTGCTGCAGGAGGCTGTGAAGGCTAGAACTAGAACAGAGTTTAAAGAGAAGTGAGACAAAGTCATGGAGGTTGGGTCCATGGAGTGGTATTAGCCAGGGGGTAGGAATGGTGTCCCTGGCCTCTGTTTGTGGAAGGCTGGAGATGGATGGCACGAGACAAATGGCTTGGTCACTGTCTTCGGTCCATCCCCTCCAGGATTCCTAGGGTTGGCCGCTGTCGGCAGACAGGCTAACGGGCTAGATGGACCTTTTG